TTAAATTTAGGTCTTAAGCAGGGTATCCACTGAAGAGATGCAAAGGATCCGAAGTGTCTACCTCACTGAATTCAAGGTGACCTTTTGCCACGGATGGACCTTGAACAGACTCTTTATGTCTGTGTCGGTGCGTGTGTGAAACTGGTGCAGCAAGTAAGATAAGGAATGTTATTCTAGTTTAATAGGCATTTTAGATTTGTAACTTAGGTCTGATGGTGAGACATTACTTTGTGGTAGTAAATTCTGTATGTATAAATTGCTGAGGTTTAATTGGTGTTAAGTTTTAGTGAAGTTAAATTGATGTTCTGATAAGTTGAAGCTCTGTCAGACTTAATTTCTGTTAAGTGTTGTGAAGTTTAGATGATGTTGCTTTTGAATGACACTAAGTTTAAATGAAATTAAGTTTAAATGAACTAAAGTTTAAATTCTGTTCTAATATGCTAATTTAAATTAAAATATTAAGTTCTTTTGTTATAGAGACACGAGAAAACCCAGTGAAACAATTATGACGAAAATCGGTGAGCAAAGGTTTAAGAACATGAGTTGATAAGTTGTATAAAAATAYGTGAAAAAGCAGTTTACTAAGTCTTTAATCATAAGTTCTACGGATGTAAATGTTCTGCATTGGTTAATTAAGATGCATTGGTGTCATGGTTTTACTTGGTCCGATTTTTGGTGGTGGGGGGATGGGACCAAGAAACCACAAAGATGGTTCCTGTGAGGAAGTTCTAGAAGCTTTCTCCTTCTTCTCCAGCAAAAGGAGCCCTACCCCGTGTTTTAGAGCCAATCCATCATGGCTCTGAGGGTGATGGTCAGGCTGCCCATCAGGCCTGGGCCAATTGCACAGGTTGGTTACACCTCTGTGATGACGTATTGTCCTGTACTTAAAAAGAATTTAAAACAAGATAGGGGCGGCTGCTATGTAGTTCTTAGGTTGTTAGTATGTAGTTTTAGTATTATGCACTGGGGAAAAACAGAGCAGGAGGGTGAGGAGATGTAAGAAAAAAATTGGAGACCCAAGATTACAGTAAAGAGGAGATGGGATGAGTTGGTGTGCTGTTGCTGTGGTTCTCAAGTATGGAGAAAATAAGTTGTTCTYGAAASGACTATTTTCATCAATGAGAGACCTGTATAGGAGAGCGACCTTGCTCTGAGGAAAAAAAACCTGGCCCTTGAGGACTGGACTGAACTGATCAGGAGCCAAAAAGGGGGAAGAGGTTTGCCCCCCGCCACGACGTTTGAAGCGAGTTGATGCTAAGAAGAAATTGTGTTCTGCAGGGAGGAGGACATGCCCCCGCCCTACGTCTGAAGTAAGTGGATGCTTAGAAGAAGCTGTGTTCTGCCAGGAGATTTGTGATAGTGGTCTTACGCCGCCGAAACAATGCAGTTTGGCCTTGAAGGACATTCTTTCCTTTCTCCTAYGAGGTAAAGAGAAAACTCTCTTGCCACCAGCAGTTAGTTATACACTGACTGTTTCTTGAGAAAAGAACTTCCACAGGTTGGAGCTGTAAGAATGCTTCTCCTATGATGCTGGACAACAACCGTAATGAGTAGTTTGATCTAT